GAGAAATCGCCCCCCAGGGGGGATGGTCACGCCGCAATCCCTTCTCCTCCATTCTCCTCTCGGGATCTTGGGCACGCACGCACACGTGCCTGGCGTGAGTTTTAAGCCACCGGGTCCGGGACGTGAACCGCGGTCGACTACGTGGGAGTCCAGCGACATAGCCATTACGCTAACTGCTGGTCCCAAGATTTCATTCTTAAAAACTGGAAAGCGTTGTGTGGTTCCTGCAGGTCTGCGCATTGCTTGTGTTGGTGGTTTGGGACAGTGAAAGCTCACCATGGTCTACCTTGTACAGTAGCGTCCTACCCGCGGCCACATGGATGGCCTGCAGTGATAGTACTGGCCGTCCACCTCAGACAAAGTTGTCACGCTGGCTGCCTCTCTCGCAGGTCGCTTTGAAGAGGAATTCATCAAAATGCGCATGGAGAGACTTCAGGCGTGGATGACCAGGATGTGCCGTCATCCGGTAATCTCCGAAAGCGAGGTCTTCCAGCAGTTCCTGAACTTCCGAGACGAGAAGGTAGGACGGCTTACTGTTACAGTCTGAGAGGACACGGGTCGTCCTGTTCACGCGGGGTTTACATCTCAGCTACGTGGGAGTTACATTCGCTACTTCGCACCTCCTCCAAAGACGACGAGGGTGCAGCCGTACGAGGAGTGTGCAGCCGTGACCCTTGGAGGAGCGGCTTGCCAGTGGCTTCCCCGAACCGGGAGGCGGTTGGCTCAGGACGGGCAGGGCAGGAGGGCCGAGATCCAGAGTTCATGGCCGAGTGGTGTCTTCCTAGGTGCTTTCCGAAACCCCGGTGGACCCCACACTAAGAAGGGTCTTCAGTGCTGAGCGAGGGTGATGGTGAAAGGTTCCTTCTGATCACCGGTGACCTCGCGAGGTCACAGCAGGGTAGAGAAAGTAGAGGGACCGTGCTTCTCAGAGCCCACTTCATTTCTGGGGACTGTAGTCAGGGCTCCAGAATCAGTGCAGGTACCCAGTGGTCATCTGTTCTTTGTTAAAGTCGAGATATACTGGCTGCCTGGCCTGTCCTAACTCTTCGGAAATAGTTTTCTCCCTTACTAAGCATTTACCATGCTCTTCATGGCTTTATTTTATTCTCTAGAGATATTTTCTCCTAATGCCTCATCTTAAATAACAAAATCCTGCATATTTTACATTTTTTTTAGCTTTTTTTTTTTTTTTTTTTTTTGCTATAAGACATGTGTGTTCGCCAGAAAGACAGAGGCAGAAAAAAATCACTGCCCAGAGAGATGGCCACATCCAGTCTCTTCCCTTTCGTTCTCCTCGGGATTTTGGGCACACATGCACGCATGCCTAGCATGAGTTTTAAACCACCAGGTCCAGGACTCAAATTGTAATGAACTCTATGGGAGTCCAGTGACATTCTGCCATCTGCCGGTATCGATATTTTAATTTTTTTTGATTGTCAGAGAGAGATAGGGAGATAGGGAGAAGGAAGAAGCACTCCCTAATGGGGCATGATCTCACTGCAGTGCCTCTCCTCCATTTCCCTCTCCTTCAGGATTTGGGCACATATGCGCGTGCGGCATGTTAGAAAATACTCTATAAAGAAGAGAAACATGAGTCTGCTCAGAAGCAACAACAGATGTAAATATATTATTATCGCAGAGAAATAGTTATGAAGTTATTTTTGTCTTTAATCAAATAATAAAATATTGTAGGGACCAGCAGTTGGTGTAATGGCTATGTCACTGGACTCCCATGTAGTCAACTGTGGTTCAAATTCCAACCCCGGTGGCTTTAAACTCACGCCGGGCGCATGTGCGTGCGTGCCCAAGATCCTGAGAGGAGAATGGAGGAGAAGGGATTGCAGTGTGACCATCCCCCTGGGGGGTGATTTCTTGCTTTCTGTCTCTCTGTCTGTCTCTTTCTGGCGAGCGCACGTGCCCTATAGCAAAAACCTCTCCAAAATAAATAAAATAAAATGTTTTATACCCTGGTAGAACTTAACAAAGATTTACTTGCTGGTGCTGGCAGGTGGCGTGGTGGTTAAGGGTTCTGGACTCCCATATGGTTGACCACGGTTCGAGTCCTAGATCTGATGACTTGCTTTCTCTCTTTCTATCTCTCTCTCTTTCTCTTTCTCTCTCACTCTGTCCCCCTCTGGTCAAAATTAACTAATTAATTAATTAATTAAAAGTTAACTAAAATAATTCTTAAAAAAAAAAGAAAACAGTGTGTTCCTATGTTTAAAAAAAGACTCACTTGCTAAATGGACGTGACACGTTTACAGTGAGTCCTAAGTGCTAGGGCTCTGTGTCCAGTGTGGATTCGCACACACTTCCCAGAGCACCTGCCTGGGCTCCTGGCAGTGCTGCCTGATCCTGGGACTGACAGGCCTGTCGTGTCGTGCGGCACCAGGGAGGGGTTAGGAATCGTGGGGCCTCAGCATTTCTCTGCAGATTGGTACACAGCACAGAAAGTCCGCTCTCCGGTGCATGAGACCCAGTCTCTGTGTGTGCCATGTAGCTGCACTTGTGGAGCGAAGGGCTGTGAGTTTTGTTGCTTTGTCACTGTGGTTCCCTCCTAGTTTGTTGCTTTCCTGCCTACTGAACAGGAATTTATTTGATTAATTTGCCAAGGATTTGGTTTAGAAAGTACTTCCAAAGGTCACGTTTCGCACATGGGGAGTTAATAGGAATAAACCCTAGCCGTCGTGGTTTTGTTGTTGAGGACTACCAGCTTCAAGGTGGATCAGCTTGCCATCAGAGGGGTGTGAGGGTGCGGCCATCGAGCCGGGCCCTTGAGTGAACTGCCCCTGTGACCATGGGTGACGCGCCTCAGCTCCCTGGGCCACAGTCTCCTCACAGGAGTGCAGTACCCAGATCACCCCTGGGACTAGCTCTGTGGTCAGCAGTGCCCCGTGTAAATGTGCGCACAGGAAATGCCCAGGAATCTGGAAAGACGTTTTAAAAGTAAGTACTTTGTGAGGTCACTGGATGCAAAACTTGATTTATTTATTAGCAAAAACAGACAATGAAAGTCTTAAAAAAAAACTATCATTTCATTTCAAGATATCTAGGAATGCAGGAACCAGCAGTTAGCGTAATGGCTATGTTGCTGGACTCCCACGTAGTCGACCGCGGTTCGCATCTCGGACCCAGTGGCTTAAATCTCACGCCGGGCGCGTGTGCGTGCGTGCCCAAGATCCCGAGAGGATAATGGAGGAGAAGGGATTGTGGCGTGACCATCCCCCCTGGGGGGTGATTTCTCGCTTTCTGTCTCTATGTCTCTGTCTGGCGAGCGCACGCGCCCCATAGCGAAAACCTCTCCAAAAAAAAATATATATCTAGGAATGCATACAAGGGAATGTACAGAATATCTCCATAGGACACTACAAGAGGTTGTTCAGAAAAATAGACCTAAAAAATATTCTGTTTTGTGAATTGAAACCGGTCAAGGTGTCACATGGAGGAAATTAAAGCACTGACCCTCGCCGGGATGCCCGAGACAGAGGAGGTCGAGGAGGACCTTCCTGGGTGTCAGAGCTCCTCGTGAGGCAGACACGGTTTCACAGGCGTGGCAGAGGAGAGTGGGCACCTGCTGATGACAGAGCAGCAGAGAGCACGGGCTTTCACCTGGGGTGCTGGCCACTTATGGCACCGCGGGCTTAAGCGAGGCAGGCGCCACCTCACCACGGTCTGACCTTGTTACATGACCCTGGTACTGTGGTTCTGTTCTTAAAACGTGCCCATCTCTGCAAAGATGCATACTGGAATCTTCACAAGAGAAGTGGTATTATGTCTGAGATGTTTAAAATTTAAAAAGCGAATAAATAAAAGGTAGTGTGGAGGAGTGTGGCTATGAAACAAGCTTGGCAACTCAGAGTCAGCAGGTGGTGTGGAGGTTAAGGCGGCCAGATCCCACATGGCTGACTGCAGTTCGAGTCCTGGATCCAGCATCTTGAAAGCACGTGTACATGCCCAAAATCCCAAGGAGAGAATGGAGGAGAAGGGACTGTGGCATGACTTTCTCCCCAGGGGGTGATATCTCACCTGACCCTGGCAACTGCATGTATAGCAAAACTAGTAAAAAAAAAAAAAGAAAGAAAGAGAAAATGTTCAGGTAGTTTGTAGATGTTAATGTGAAAGGCAACAGAATAAAGCTTCTAGAAGGTAACATAGAGGAAAATCATTATACCCATAGAGTAGGAGAGGGTTTCTGAAATAAGGGAAAAAAAACAACTAACCGTATAGGAAGAGGTGCATAAAGTAGGGTACATTTAAATTAAGAATTTCTATCAGAAGACTCAGTAAAAGTGAGAAACAAGCTATTGAATAGCAGATATTCATAACATGTATAACCAATGGAAGACTAGATTTCTGAATATATTAAAGCCCCCACAAGTTGGGGCTAGCTGTGACATGATGGTTAAGGCACTGGACTCCCACCTAGCCAGCTGCAGTTTGAGTCCCAGACTGGGCAGCTTCCTTTCTCACTTTCTCTCTCTCTGGTGAGTGTGCATGACCTATAGCAAATTTTAAAATAATAATAATAAAATATAGAAAATAATTTTTTAAAAATATAAGTCAACAAGAAAGATAATACAGGAAGAAAACTAGATTTGTACTTCACCGCAAAAGGTTTTTGATTCATCAACATATGTACAGAAAGTACTTCATGTCATCAGCAGTCAAGGAATTGCAAATAAAAACCACAACTGGTTACCATTCTACACTTATAATGGCTAGAATTGAAAGACTAACCATCGCAAGTATCTTGGTGAGGTGACATGTGCTGGGACTCGCCCCTTCTACTGATAAGTGTGGAGATGGTAAGACCAGTTTAGAAAACAGTGTAGGGGACCAGCAGGTGGCATGGTGGTTAGGGCGCTGGACACTCCCATATGGCTAACCACGGTTTGAGTCCCGGACCTGGCAGCTTGCTTTCTCACTGTCTCTTTCTCTCTCGCTCTCTCTCTCTCTCTCTCTCTCTCTCTCTCTGTCTCTCTCTGGTCAAATTAAAATAAATGAATGAATAGATTTTTGGAAAAAAGAAAACCGTGTGGCATGATCTACTAACGGTGAACACCCACCTCCTCTCCGAGGTGTATGTGAGTGGAAATGCGTGCAGTTGTGCACCAGCACACGTGTGCCTTGCAGCTTTATTCATAATTCGACGGGTCGCCAGTGGTAGAGTAGATAAATGGGTAGGGAACACCCGCACAGTAGAAAGTGACACGGCAGTGAAGGGGACGGATCACAGCTGGACACCGCAGCATGTGTGTAGTTCCCAACCACAGGTTGAACAAAAGAAGCCAGACATGCAGTGCGTGCTTCAGTAGTAAACTTTTGTTTCTGGAGAGGTTTTTGCTACAGGGCGTGTGCGCTTGCCAGACAGACAGACAGAGACAGAGAGACAGAAAGAGAAATCACCCCCGGGGGGGGG